CTAGAAAAAGTTATTTCTAGTCTTAACTTGTTAAAGAATCTAGATTATTCCTTTGCTTTTATAGAACGCTTTTACAAGTAAAGGTGTTCTAGGTGATGTCAAATCATGGGAAGAGATCGGTTTAAAAAAAATAGAGTAAAAAGGGGGGGGGGGGTGATTTCCTCTCAATCATGTCATCATTGGTCTAAAGTCTTCAATATGTCATTGAAACTTTAGCCTGACTTTAACAAAGTAAAAATGTGGAAAAGGGTGTTTTTGGTATTCGAGCCTAGACGTTTTCGGCATTCGAGCCTAAATGTTTCGGCATTCGAGCCTAAATGTTTCGGAATTTGAGCTTCAATGTTTCGGCATTTGAGCCTAAAGGTTTTGGAATTCGAGCCTCATCAGTATTCAAACCGGATGTCCACAACATAGAATTACGTGTCTCAAAACTGGAGGCACATATCCAAATCCATTGAGAGAGAAGAAAGTTAGCAACTCTCTCAGCAGTTTTATCCACAAGATGAGTACACGTGTCTCAAGACTAGGGGCACGTGACTACATGGGTGCGACATTGTCATGTCGCTCTTTATACAGGGGGTGGACGGACACCCTAAATGTCTGGTAAGCTAGTAAGCTCACTAACTACTGTATTTGCTTCCAATCAAGAAGTGTCTGTTCCTGATGGTTCGGCGCGCCTGTTGACTCGTGAGCTAACGCCTAAAGTAAAGTAATTCTTTACCTTTTAATTATGAGAGGTAGGTCTCGCAAAGCTTGGGCTGAAGTGAAATTTTACGCAACACCTACGCCATACAATTTTACGCTGTACGATACGCCTTGCATTTTTACGTTGCATGACGACGCCTACCTTTTTGCTTTGGACATGAAAAAAATAAGAAAAGTTGGACATTTATAACGTCAGTACAGTAAAATGACAAACCTGTCTATGGGAGATTTTACATAAGCACCACTACGGAACGTCTTAAGAAACATTTACGAAAAACGTTCAAAATGTATGCTTAGGGAAGGCACAAAGCACGGTGTGCATGCAGAATGATGCGAAAAACTAACAAAGAAGAAAATAAACTACAATATGTAAAGAAATTAAATGATTTTGATAATTGGCGCGCCATTACGTCTAATAACGAGCAAAAACCGTTGAAAAATGATCAAACGGATCAAAATCTGGTTATTGGTTATTTTAATGACCAGTATCCGCGCGCAACTCAGTAGGTCGCGCTGGCCAGGCGCGTACATCATTTTGAGTTGCCCTGTTCTGTCATGCGCAACTGATTGAGTTGCGCGCGAAATTTAAATCAGCAAAAAGAAATCGCTGAGCACGATTTTTAGTTCGCGTTCTCTCACTTCTTCCTTCACCATTTTCGACCCTTTCTCTCTCTAAAAAGCTCGGTTTTTTGCAATTTTTAAAGCTAAAGGAAGTAGATCTCGTCCCTTATTCATTTTTTCCATAATCTAGTGTAAGTTGTTTTACTAAATTTTGTTTGTTTTTAGCTGAATTTGGGCAATTTTCGAATCGTTAAACCCCAAATTTTGAATTTGGGGGTATTTTTATTTGGTCCATCATTCTTGAAATTGTTTGTTCCATGTTTTTATGCCATGTTCAAGGAGTGTTTTGCAACAAATTTCATGAAAAATGGTTAAGTATTAAACCTTGTATGAGCATTTCTTTGTTTAAGTTCGTTCTTGCTCTTTTTCTTTGAATTTTGCTCGAATCTATTGCTTTTTCTTGCTCATTTTGGTTACATTTGCTGATTATGAAGTAAATTATAATAGTGGAATAATTCACATTTTGCAAATTTTGAATTTTTTAAAAATGGCGCAAAGCATACTCTTAGCTCGTTTTTTGCCATGTTTAAAGCTCAAAATTGTTTGGTAGACGATAATCATGTTTGTATTACAGTTATTTGTCTAGGAGTAGTTGATTTTTTGAGATTTTGAAATACAATCCCTTGAATGCTTAGTTGAAACTGGTATAGGATGGCTTTTGTGGGTGTTAGAAGCCCGATTTACTGAGTTTAACTGTAGGTATCGTAGCCTCCAAGTATGGGTGGCATTCGATTTTCATGTTTTGCCCTATCGGCAGCCGTTATGCTGCTGAAATGGGTCTAGAACACGTATATTAGCTTAGTTTTAGAAAGAAAATAAAAATAAAGAAACCTTATCCAATCATAGCATGGACTCACCTCCATTCGTTGATGCTGAGGAGATTCTAGAGGGTCCTGACGAGGTGGTCCGCCCTCGAAAGAGGGTGACCCGTCCTCATGAGGAGGTTTGGGAGCGACGCGTTGCAGCTGATCGACGTCACCAGGAGGATGTGGTTTGGGAGGCTCCTCCCAACTGTGACCCTAGGGTCCTTAAGTGGGACCCAGACCATCATGTTTCGATCAGAGGGTGGCGCGGCATCGTGAGTTCTTTACGCCTTCGTTTTCCTTTTTTTTTCCTTTTTAAACCATAACCGTTTTTTTTTATTCTTTTTACTTTTCCTTAGAGTGAGCCTAGCATGCGCCTATACGGCTCTAGTGACCTGCGAGCCCGTTTCGAGAGTTTGCTCGAGGTGGCAAGGGAGATTGTGGAGCTTTCGAGGATCAGCTCCCAGCTGGCGGCTCTTTGGAATTTATCGAGTCAGCCTGCGTCGTCAGCTTTCCTCCGTGGATTGCTGGAGTTTTGGTAGGATTCCACCAACACTTTTCACTTTCCATCGGGGGAGATGACGGTTACCCCTTTCGATTTCTCTATAATTACAGATTTTCCTTTTGGAGGCGAGCCCGTAGCCAGTGATATCGTTAAGGGGTCAAACGAGAGACTGCGTGACCTTGTAGGGGATCGTCTCGCGGGGGCCCTTCACGTGTATGCGTAGTCTTGTCCATAGTCGGTTCTTGCCGATGAGTTGTCGGCCGACGAGCTTGATCGGCAGTGTACACCTGAGCAGCTGATAAGTGACTTTTATGTGACTTCTAGGGTGTTTATTGAGTCATTTTCCGGCTTATTTTCCAATAATTTAGCTCATTTTGTCCTTTATTTCTATTATTTGCTTATTCTCATCTTTTATCTTTATTTTATGTATTTTAGTAGTTTTTAATAGTTTTTAGCTTATTTTCTTAATTTATTTAAATTATCTTATTTTCTATGTTTATATTTTATGTTTTTAGTTCTTGTTATATAATAAGTTCCTAGTTTCTCTCATTTTCTTATTTGTTTTAATTTAGTCCTTCATTTTGTTTTAATAGTTTTATTTTATTTTACTTCGTTTTATTTTATTATATTTTGTTCTACCCTCGTGTTGGTTTTTGGTTGTAGGTGTGTTCGGGTTGATGCTCGATTTTCATGTTCAAATCAAGTTTGAAATTCCGGGTTCGAGTAAAATGTGACAAACAACAAGCTTCCAAGCATCAAGTTGCTGCCATTCTTACCATACACCACTCCATCTCCCTATCCTACACCACACTCCCCTGCTCCCTCAATTCACCCAAAACACTTCCCCTGCTTTCCTCAACAACATCAACACCAACAGCAACAACAACAAACACAACTCCACCATCACCCAAAAACCACGCATATCCAACAACCAATACACCACCAAACCACGCAACCACCGTCTACCACCACAACAAAATCAGCCCACCAATTCACGCACACCCCAGCAGTCCCTGCCAACAGCAATACCTCCACCAATATCAGCTATAGCGGCAGTCCTGCTCAACAACCTGCAGCACACCACCAGCCGCACCACCATTCTCAATCACCAAGAGTCAAAGCCATCTATCACCTTCTCCGTCCACCCTTCGCGCACTCTAACAGAATACCAAACCACCTCAACTCCACTTGTCTCCGTACAAACCGCAACAACAGTTGCCTCGCACCGCTACTGCTGCCTCCTTCACCTATTAAACCAAACCAAACCACCTTTGCGCACCAATTCCAGCATACCCCAAACCACCAATTACAATCAAGCAACAACCAAAATAAGAGTAAATCACAAATTAATCGGGTTCGGGCAAACCGTTGAGGAGCTCGGTCGAACTGCTAAAAGAGTCGGAAACATTGGAAGTTTTCTAGTTTGAAGAGGTGTGGTCGAACACACGACTGAACCAACCCATTATTCGGCCGAATATACCCATGGTTCGACGGAAACACCTCACGAGCTGCGCACACGGTAATTAATAAGATCGAACGGCTTGAATTGATGCTCGATGAGTGCTGTCAAAGATGAACGGTGGCGATTTCATGATGAAGCTTGATGATGGATTTTGATGGGGTGTGAAGTAGGGGATTAAAACCCCATTTTAAGCAGCTTCAATTCGAAGAAGAAGGGGAATTAGAGGGGGGGTCTGACTTTGGTTTTGGTGGACTTTATTTGTTTTTTATTTTTATTTTCTTTTTCTTTTAATTTCATTTTCCTTTTACTTTATTTCTTTCCTTTTTATTTTTCCTTTCTTATTTCCTATTTTATTTCTCTTTATTTATTTAGTTTCTTTTTACAGCTTTGTATAAATACCCATTTTGGGGGTAATTAAATACATGAATTATGATGCTATTTTCTTAATTAGTTTTGAGGAGAGTTTATCTCTCTTAGGGTTAGATTAGATAATTTTAGAGAGAGAAAGTAGATTATTGCTCAAGTTTCTCTATTGTATTCAACTTTTAGTCAAGTTTATTTCAATCAAGCAATTCTTCCAAGTTTTCATCTTTGATCAAGTTCATTTTTAGTAATCTCTAATCCCTTCTTTTAGCTTTATTTATTTGCTTTATTGTTGATTATTTTCATTCATCTTTTTAGTTGAACTAATTGGCCTGGTATTGTTTTCATTGTTCTTAATCATGCTTAGTTTTGTGCTTCTTGAATTCATGTTTAGTATTGTTATTAAGCTTAATCTCCCTTCCCTAGGCTAATTTCTTAGCTAGGGGAAGGGGGTGGAAAATATGAGTTGATATTGTATGAATGATGATGGTTGGATTGAACTCATGCCATAAATTGATGAAAGACATGATTTTTGATAGCTTGAGATTATTGTGGCACTTTGTGCTTCTTTATTCTCTTGATTTGATTGTAACTAATAGGATGCATGAGAATAATCCTTATTAGTATAGGCCTTTTTCATTGATTTTCCTAGACTATTGCATGAGAATGAATTGTTTAGGTAGAATCTTGTGTTCTTTGACATGTTCTTCATGATAACCATTATTGTTCCCCTCTTTCTAATCATATTTGACACCTCCGTATCCCTAGCGTTGTTCTCTCTTGATTTTAATCATCATTTTCTTTGCTTATTTGTAGTTTTAGTGCTCTTTATTCAAAAACCAACAAAAACATTCCCCTTTTTACTCTTGTATTAGTTAAAACTGATGTTGAATGAGTGAGCTTCCTTAGTGGTTCGAATCTTTACATGACCCTATACTTGTATTAGGGTAGTTTAGGAATATAAATGATTAATTTGATTAGGGTAGTAGTTTAACGGCCTATCTAACCCTCGATCAGCAGCTGGCTCGGATATACATTGCTCACGTTCTTTCCGTCACTATCTTGAGTGATCGGGGAGAACGTTTTGCTATCGGGTTACTTATTTGCCTTAGTAATTTGGGGTAAGTAGGTAACCTGAGTTGGGCGGAGGTGTCATATGCCCGTATGCTTACAGCTATGGGCAAGGCGACCCAGGTGATGGATTTCGCGGCAGCCACTGAGGTTCCTCGGATCTCCCTTACGTAGCACGATCGTATCCTTGAGGTACGTGCTTTAAGTTTATTACAATCATTATTTTTTCTTTTCCCCTTTAAGCTTATTATTTTTCGGTTTTCTTTTAGGCTTGGTGATACTCGTACCAGCCTTTCTTGGCCCCCAGGATGCTTGGGGCTGCTCGTTTTCCTATCGGCAATCGACTGGTCACGATTAAGAAAAAACGAGCCACTTCAGCAGGCGACTTTCGCCAGAGCATCCTTTCGGCGATTCATGCGTTGATGAGTATTTCAACCACATGTGCATGTTTTGATTTTTTTTTATTCATTTTCTGATGATTTTTCATGTGGCTGTGTTTATAGATCAACCTCCGTCCTTGGAGTTTGATCGTCGGAGTCCTTGAGGCTGTCCGGTCTGACATGATTTGTTGCCGTTTTCGGGCCCTTTATCAGGGACTTCCAGTCCTCTAGAGGACAGACACTTAGTATTTAGGCGAGCGTGTCCGCTGGCAGTTTGCATTCGAGGAGCCCAGGGTTCCTGCGGATCCTCTGATCCGGATGTTATGTCCGAATTTGCTGAAGTGTCATCAACCAAGTACATAATAAAACCCTTGGTCAAAACTCTCCAGATCTATAACTACGATCATTATCATCATGAGACCGCGAGTTAGGGAATGGTGGACCAAAAAGACCCTCCATCATCCGAGTACAAGGAGTAGTGTCCCTACTAGTCCCCACAGCTCCAGCAGAAGACATACTCAAAGTAGGTCCTGTCTAGCTGGTAAACTGTGTAGGCTGACTCCAAGATGTAGGAAGCGTCGATGGAGGCATCGTCCCAGACAATGGAACAGAAAATATGCCCTGGTCTGCAGGAGTAATGACCGACCTAGACTCAAACTGTGAAGGCCGGAATGGCTTGGAAGATGGAGGATGCTGCCACTGAGCCTGAAAGTGTTGGAATGGTTGAGAAGGCTAAGGTTGTTGTCACCGAGTCTTCTAAAATGGCTGAGAAGACTAAGACTACTTCCACTGAGTCTGAAGCCCCTGAAATGGCTGAAAAGTCTTAGGTTGCTACCACTGTGTTTGAGAATGCCGACGAACCTCAAAGGATCGTCTGCGGCGACTAGGCTCCCCATCGTTCGAGCCTCTATGCCTGGAGCTCAAGCGAGACCTCCGTCGCCTTCGTCGCTCCTGAAATAGACAAAATGAAAAGATATTAGTGATGTAAAAAAGGTAAACATAGGAAAATAGATGAATATACCTCATGAACATCGTCTGAACCACTCTGACAACTCGCACCGCGTCGTATCTTGATGACACAATACTTTAGGGCATCAATCAACTTCATAAAGCCCATCATATCCGAGTGCGTGACCTGGAAGCAAAAAAAAAATCAACAACAAGAAATATTAAGAAGAATGAAAGATCTGTCAGAAAACTTACCGGCTCGAACTCATCGAGCAAGGACTCCTACGCCTGTCTAAAACCCTCCGGTGCATCAGCAATATGATCCTAAACCATGCTAATCGGCCCCGAATAACGAACGGACTGAGGCGAGATCTTGACCTTCCCCCTACGACGAACAGTCGTCTAAAACATGATCGAATAATCAGGTTATTCGACAGTTGAAACAGAGACTAGCAAAATATAATTCTAAAACAAAAGCAAACCTCGGGAAGATGAGACAAAGGAGCCAAGTAAGAAAGCAAGTCCTGAGAATAATTGACGTCCATGCCCACGAACTCCTGCCAAGGAAACTTATAGCGCACTCTCCTGTCCAGCAGCTCCCCCATCAAGCGTGAGTGCAACATCCACTAAGGTGGGGGCAATGACACCACAAAACGATCAACGATGTGCTATTGAACAACACGTTCTCTAACGTACCAAAAAAAATGTGATGTACCAAAGAAGACAGTACGGCACGCCAAAAGCTCCAAAGCCTCGGGAAGGATGGTCATGCTAGCGCAAGGCCGATAGTGGATTTCGACAAGGACCTGAATACCATAAGAGATTGCAATAAATGCCAAAAAATAACATCAAAGTTAAAAAAATACTACACTATGAAATAAACCCATACGCCAACATTAGAGGTACCCCGATGCAACAACCCGCGCAGACTCGATACAGACTCCACCCGTGACTCGCCTCGGTCACGCTAGTTGAAACCGACAGAAAAATCATGGATCGCTCTGCGACAACATCGAGGGGCTAATCCCGGAAAGTACTCATAGAACCACAACTGCACCAAGAATAATCTATAAGCACATAAGCCAAACCAGTAATAGCTAAACATGAAGAGGAAAATATCATCACCTCTACGACTCTCCACACACCACAAACAGCAACAGGCGTCTGATCGTTCAGCTGCCTATAGCTATGACGCAGCGACGAGAGTAGATCAGCATACCCCACACTAGCCCAACTTAAGGATCCTATTTCACCAATCACGGTTAGAGACGACAAGTAACAAACAAGCGCACGAGAACTCCTATCATGAGAAAGAGTCCTAGAAATAAGAATCAAGATAAAGATTCGTATTCGCTGCTCAGGCGTCGTATTAGGTATATCAAAACCATGGGCAAGAATAGAAGCCATCTCTGATCACCCACTCCTAGGACCACCCTAAGGCACCAGTCGAGTCCTAATATGGTGAACGACAGGACCTAACAGTTGCAATACCTTATTCTCCCTCTAAGTGAAGTCAGGAATTTGCTGAACAAGCTGCTTGGTGAAGCGCAAGCCGCTGATCATGCTGAAATCAAGAGGAGTCACCATCATCTCCCCCCAAGCGAAGTGGAAAGTGTTGGTAGTATACCAAAAATACTCCAACAGCGCTCGGACAACTATCAAACCACAGCCTTGGGGGCTGTGAAATCCCACAACTACTGAATAATAATCTCTCAAACCAGCAGACCCCCATAAGGCGTTGGTGGTAGGATCCCATGTGATGATCCTGTATAGTCGGGGAATCAAGTCTCTAGCTCCTGAACCATGATGGTGAAGCACACCATCGACTACGCCGGTAAGTGGACAGTGAGAAAAATGATTCTCACAACAGAAAACCAACTCGTCTGATGTCCACAAAGGCGGGGTCCACCTACCCCTACTTGTAGAAGGGCGAGGCTCGGTCCCCAAGGCATCATCTATATCCTCAAGAAACGTGAGAGTGTCCTCTCAGAAAGCTTGACGCCGGCCACGAGTAGAAATATCTCAATCTCGTTGTCTAGGCATGCTATTATGTTCAAAAAAAAATCTAAATACTTAGCATCATTTCCTAACTTATTTAGTTATTTATTCAAAAACAGCTTAACAACTACCTCAAGTTGCATTTTCTGTTATACACTAAATTTTTACCTCAAGGCTAGAAATTTGAAAAATAATAAAATTATTTCTAGTACTAAGTTTCTCCATGACAAACTAATACTACAGTTCTCCTAATCGCATGATACTATGTTCTCCATGAAAATGTAGTATATACACAAAAATAGAGCATGTTCGAAATTTCACAAAAACAATATATCGGCACATCATAGCACATTTTATAAGATCTACAACAATTCTATCTTCATTTCAGGAGCAAAGGAACAACAAGAACGGCATTCACGTACAAATTAGTACCAAAAATGGTGATTTGCTCATTTCTTGACCAAATCATGCAAACTTGGTCTCAAATTGCTCACAAACCAACATAAATTTATATACCAGCTAATTCATGGCAAAATTTTTTTACATAAAACCTCAAAATAAAAAATCCCCAATTTGATTTTTTAAGGGTGTTTACATGAAATTACTCATTTGAAGCAAAATTCAAGACAAAAGTCAAGAGAACTTACATCGATCCTTGTGGGAATTTGAAAATGAGGAACATTGCAAGAAATTTGAGCGAAAACGATGAAGAAACGAGTGAGAACAAGCTTGAAAACCACAGCGGCGTAGCAATGAACTTGAGCAGCAACAACAAAAATGAAATGAGGTAAAAGAAGCTGCAATTTTCGAATTTAAAAGCACTCGAAATGCACCGTGACACGGTAAACCACTCCGTGACACGGTGCAATTCCACGTGGCGCGGCCAAACTACACGTCAGGGGCGCGGAATTCGAGCACTTTAACTAGTTCAGCTAGAAAAGGAATCCCGTGTCAGGCAAGAATATGTCGCTTGACGGAAAATATTGCCGTGTCACGGCGCCCAATGGCATGGCGCAGTGCACGCGCGTTCCCTGCACCTGCGAAATCTGTCAGCGAATATTCCTGGCAGCTTTTTGACTAATTCAACAACAGGAATGAAGCAGCGTGTGACACAAAATAGTGTCGCATGACGGCAAAATTTGTCGTGTCACGACGCCCTGCCACGTGAAACGGTACACGCGCGTGATCTGCACGCTCCTGGAAGACTGTCAGCAAATATTCAAGGCATCTTTTGACCAGTTTAAATAGCTTTCCGCAGCTTTTTAATTGTAATGTCTTCATCGAAAATTCGAGGGAAATTTAAATTGATATTTAAATGGTACCAAAATTACCATTTTACCCCTATCAAGTATCGAAGTCGTATTTCAAGCACCTAATTCGGTCAGATAGTCGACTTGAAGGTGTAATCATCTACAGCCCACATTCGGGGACAAGCGAACCATTTACAACCCATGTTCGGGGACAAGTGAACCATCTACAGCCCACGTTCGGGGACAATCAAATCATCATCATCATTTTAAGTGATCCTCTCTTAAGCGAAGACTATTCACGGCGCAAGGTTCTCGATACATAGAGACTTGCAATCTCATCATTAGACAAGCTTTTCCTCAAACATGGAAATTTGTCGGTCGTTGCCACCTCTCAAGGCGAAGAAGTCAGCAATTATATCATCTATCGACTTTCCTGAAGCATAGAAAGTATTATCCGGTAAATTTATTCAAGCATGGAAAATTGCCAAATTCATTTATCGACTTTCCACAAGCATTGTAAGTATCATTCGGTGGATTTCTTCAAGCACAAAAAAACTGCCAAATTCATTTGTCGACTTTTCTCAAGCACGGAAAGTTTCTCAAAAAATATCATCTGGTGGATTTCTTCAAGAATAGAAAGCTACAAATTCATTTGTCACCGATACACTGGTGTCAGATACGCATTCTATCCCTTTACTCTTTTTTCTGTAAAACTAACACTTTTCTGCAGGTATCGGCGTATGCAAAATGATTTAGGATTGCAGGATGTTTTAAATCATTCTCCCTCCCTATCGACTACTTTGACTATCATTTTAGAAACTGATGTTTCTACAAACTCAGTCAAAGTGGGGGCTTTTGTAGACAACTAAAAATGTCTCCCCGGAACCAACCCCAATAATGAATAATCTTTCACCGCCATTATTGGTCGGGTTGAGTATTTAATCCTAGCTTAGGAGTGCTTAAAATTCATATTCGATCAAACTCAGTTCATAAAAAAAGTCAACGGATTAGTCCTAATGTTTAGTTAAAGCATAGTCCAATTTATATTTTGGCCCAAACTTTCTTTTTATTCATTTCATATTATATATTATTTTAGCCCAATTTATAAATAATAAACCTTAATAGCCTGAAATTATGAAACGACACTTAAAAATGCCGAGCGTAATTAGGGTTAAGATGAATGTGGACGTAAAAATGGAAACAAAGTCCACCGCGTCACAGCAATAGGTGCCGCGACACAGGAAAATCTGTCGTGTCACGAAATATTTTACTGTGTCACAGTGCTCATGTCGTGACACGAGATGATACTTTTTTCCCCGTGTGTCAGACTTCACGCGTTTTATTTTATAAGTCTGTTTCTTTCTCGCGTCACACCAAATTATACCGTGTCACGACATATTTTGCTGTGTTGTGGCAATATTCTGACGTGTCGCAACATTTTTGTAAGGGTATTCTCTTTTTAGGGTTCCGTGTGTTTCCTCATCTCATTTTCCCTATAAATACACCCTCATTTCTACAGTTCAGGGCATCAATTAATTCTCTCTTTTCTCTTCTATGCTCTAGCCTAAACACTAGCATACCCTATTCTTCAAAAATACTTCTTTTAAGCATTTCAAAGAGTTTGTACTCTAGCCGAGGTTCCGTCCTTAAATCAAGGCGTGAAAGGTAGAACTGTTTGAGGGTTTGGCCCCAAATCAACTCTATTTAATTTAATTTTAGTTATTATTTTATTTATTTCCTTGAAGTTACTAACTTGTTTATTGTTTTATAGTTGTTGGAAGCAAGCAAAAGTAAGGAATCATGTTCCTTTTATTTCTATTATTTTTCTAACAATTTTATATTGTTGGATTATTATTAAATTTCATCCAATACTAATGTTTATTCTATTATTATTGATCACCATATTGCATGTTTAAAGGGAATATGTAATTGAAAATCGCGACTAATAAGATAATTTGGACAATCGATTTAGGTTCCTTTTCAATGTTGGTTTTTAATCAAGTGATCACGATATTTTATAATTATGTGATGCATTAATATTTAACCAATTTAGCATAATAATAGTTTGGAGAAAATTGATTTTTTTTTTTGCATGCCTTTGAGATCGTAGGAATACTTTTCACTATAAGAATGGAGTAGAGGCCTTTACGGGCGAATGTGACTCCATGACTCACTTCGTACCATCATCCCCAATCTTCCTTTTATGGTTTTGAACCATATGGAATTAGTAATCTCATGGATTATGAATGGGGTGTAACTTTCACGGGTCAATCGTTGTTGCCTTCGTTGTCCCTTATTTGTGGTTGCCTTAAATGATCCGTGAACGGTTTATGAGTTCCCTATAAACTTGTTGGCGACTCCCTACTTTTCTTTGTCCATAATCGTAATGTCAATTCCCACTTCCTATGAGTGCCAAGCATATTCACACATGCTTTAACGTAGGCGCACTTCAAACGACGCCTACACCCGTGCAGATGGGATTGCGCGCTCGTGCTCTTCTGGGTTTTTTGCAACTTCATCGCCACTTCGTGCATTCGCAATTGGGTCTTTCGAGTGCACGCAGTATGATGATGATAGACCCTAAGAATGGCAGTTTTTAAGGGCCTCCACGGTGGGTTCAACACCGATTTTAATGAGAGCATGGCTTGAGAGCGCAAGAGCTAGAACTTGGAGCATCAACTCCTTGCATCTTGAGCTTTCCCAATGCTATGAGCTTACTCCAAAAGCATCTTCCAACTTAGAAAACCACCAATATAGAGACTCGAACCTCGTACAATACCTACAACCAAAAAAAGAGGAAAAGTAAAGGAAAAAACACAAGAAAAACTATAAAAACACTATACAAGAGAGAAAAGGGAAATAAAGAGAAAATGCATAAAACTAAGTATTTATTAAGAAATAAATCTATAAAAATAAGGTAAAAATAACCTAAATACTCATCAAATAAGTGCCATAAATGGCACTCATCAGTCTTCAGGCTTGAAATTTAGATGATGGCACGATTATTGGTGACACGTTGGTTGTAAGGCAGGTTTTATAGTTGATTATGGTGGAAGGACCTCGTTCTGTGTTATGTCTTAACGTGGAAGAAACATAAGTTTTCTGTCCTACAGAAGACCCTCGAAGCAGGCTTGTGGGTGTCTTTCTACCTAATATTGCTCGACCTTTGCATGGTGTTAAGTTGCTTAGTTGTCCCGCTAGTTCCGGTTCTTGTTTTAGTGGTGAGCTTGTGATGCAGAAGGTGACCAAGACTATTGCCCTTATGGATAAGGTTGCTATGCTGGATGATCCTTAATATGAGTTGTTGTTACTTAGGGCATGTGCCAGAATTTCTAAACTCTACTTTGCATTGCATACTTCTCCTCCTTGAACTTTTGAGGCGGCTCAGCGCACTTTCGATGGGGCTCTTCGATCTTCCTTGGAGCGTATTGTTACTGCTTCGGGGTCTGGGCTTGTGGATTGGAAATGGAGACTTGTCACCTTACCATTTGCGTTTGGTGGGCTTGGTGTTTATTCTGCAAGTGATGTTCATCACTATGCTTTTCTTGCTTCTCGGTTGCAGTCTGATAGGTTGCAGACACAACTTCTACGGCATGCTGGAATTGTTGATCTTGGACGAGCCTTTGAGGATGCATTGAGTCTGTTTAATAGAACTGTGGAGTCTGACATTTTGAGTAATCCTAGTGAGGTCGTTTCCCCTAAACTCATGAAAAGATTGGCAGATATACATTTCACAAAGGTTACCGCTTCTGCTGAATTTGCTTATTCTTTAACTCCTCAACAATAAACATTATGGAAATCACAGCACAGAGATCACATCTCTGCTTGGCTTTAGGCTGTCCTATTTCAATATTGGATCAGACGATGAACGCCAAGACTTATCAGTTATCACTGT